AACTTTAGATAACTACAAAAACTAAAATGAAAATAAAAAAATAGAATTCTTGAAAGCTTTCGTAGAAGGCCTTTGAAGGGAAAACTAATGCTCTACAACATTGACTATTTTGCCGACCCGGTTGTCAGTCGAAGTTAATCATACAACCCCGTTGTGATTGAAAGATGGTTGTTATTGTTGTTGTTGCTGTTCTGTAAGTGAAAATATTATTTTAACTTTTCGGAATTAAATGAATCGTAATTGAAGTAGACAGACAACAGGCTTTGTTGTCTACCGTTCCATTTCCAGAAAATGGAAATCCTAACAAGAAGATTCAGCGAAAGGAAATATGACACAATTTCAAATGAAATGTGGGGTATTAGACAGTTCGACTTTTGTGTGACAATGAAAAAGAAGATTGGAAATATTGTCAATAAAGAACATTAGAATAGATTGTCATTGGGTGGGTTGTAACAGGTGTTGGTTTCAGATGTTGTTTTTTTTCTATTTCCCCCTTTTATTGTAATTATTTCATAAATAATCAAAGGCAAAAGCAGAAATTAAAGATGTGCGTTTTTTTTGTTTGCAAAAAAGTCCATGTTTATTAAACATTTTGCGGACGAACAAAAACAGAAAAAACGATTTTTAATATTTTCTCATAATTTATTTACTAACCACTTAATTTCTTTATATTTAATCAGATTCAGTGTTAATTGTATAGCCTCTATTTTTTCTGCAGATTGCTTTGATTAAAATGTTAATAGACATTCATATGTGGCGAGTTGGGGTTTTTCAGAGACGTAGAACTAACAAAACTAAAAAAAAAATGCAAAATGGAGGCATTTATAGGAAATCAAGTAGGAAGCAGTAAGGAAAAGGCCCAAGGTTGGACCGACTATATAGCTGCATAGACGTTGATTTTTTCGTAAGTTTAGTTTTTTAAATAATATTTTAAGGATCAACATAGGTGTGGGTTAAAACAAATTCATGGCCCAATCCATGCCTTAAATTTTTTAAAAAATGTTTTTGCAAATGTCAATATTGGCGTGGATTTTTTTAAAAATATATTTCAAAGCCCACTATAAGCTTGGATGTTTTAAGGAATATTTGTTTATGGCCCACAATAGGCGTGGATTTTTTGAAGAATATTTATTCAAGAGTCAACATAGGTGCCGACCATACGATATCCTACACAACTACCACGGAACTCAAATTTTCTGCGGATGTTTATTCCGAGCTTGGATGATATTTCGTGATATTTCCACCCTCTTGCCCGATTAGAGATAAACAACACCTCTTCCTCACACTGACATATTTTCCGAATATTACGAGTATTCAGTACAGTCATTGTCCAGATTCCCTTCACCTTGGGTTGTGTTGTGATGTTCGACTTTCATTTGTGGTCTATATATCGACTCGAAAATAACACAAAAAATTAAGTTTTCGGTCCAATTCATTCCAAAATTATAATCTGATCAACACCGAAAATTGTAGGCCTTGTCCTTGACCATAACTGGAACCTCCACCTCCATTTTGTTTATTTTGTCATTCCTTTGTAGCTCATCGAAATATTCATTTGCGACCCTATAAAGTATATATATTCCTGATCAGGGTAAAATTCTAAGTCTGTCTGTCCGTCTGTTGTAATCACGCTATCTTCTGAAGGAATTGAGACAGGGTGCGGGAAGTTTGCATGGTTTTGTCTTTTGTCTGCAGGCAGGTCAAGTTCGAAGATGGGATACCCCCAATTTTTGGTATTTTGGGGTTCTTGAGCGCGTTTTTCAACCGAATTCGCTGAAATTTGGTATTTTGTAGTTGTATATGGCAACAAATCTCCCTACCAAAAACTATTAATATTTACCCTCTTTTTGGTGTAGTCCCCATATAACCCCCTTTTTATATTAAAATAGTTATCTGATTTGTTCCGCGTTTTGTGTTTGGTTCTAAGACTCTGTTGTAATCATTTCAACTGCGGAGAATAGCGAGATAAAAAATTAGAACGTAAGGTTCGATAATGAACTATAGCCGCATTAAGACCTAGCCCCTGTGTGGAGGTTCCAGAAGGAGTGGACCGATATTCCCCATCTTCGAATTTGAACTAAGTTTGGAAGAAATAATAAGATGGGCAAAGTTTGGATGAAATCAAAATTTTCTGAAACGGATTTGGTCCAAAGAAACATGGGGTCTAGAAACAATATTTCGATGAGGCACATTTTCACCGTGTTAATGTGTATACACCCTCATTAGCCATAAGGCTGAGGGTATAATTATCCATTAAAAATTTCGGAAATTATTGTTTACATTATGGTTTACATAATCCGTTTTTAGAAATGTCGGTGTAGGTCCACTTTTTGGTATGTTCCCTATATTTTCATTTCTAGATCCTGTCAGTATATCTATGATGGAGGCCTGGCCGAATAGTGGCCTTTGAAGCGACTAGAAAACCACAGAAAAATAAAGTTTTCTTTCCGTCACCGAATTATATGCGTCGTCCTTGAGCAAAACAGGAACTTCACGAACAAATTCATATCGATCAGCGCGACATTTACGCCCTCTAGTGGGATAATGGCAATATTGAACAATATCATGAGAGTACATGAAACAGCATAACCGGTATCAATTTAAAGGCCAACCACTATTCTAAGATATACTGCCATCGTCTCCGGTCTATGGCCTTCAGGAGTAAATATATAAGCCATAGAATGAATTTTGTTCACACAAAAGTCTTGGTCCATTTGACCCGCTAAATAATGACCGATTATTATGAAAAAAAAACCATTTCTGTTCCTTGACCAGATCCCTATCTCCGTATAAAGTTTAGTAATGTTCTGGTCATAGTTGTGGCTTCTATTTCAGACCAGAAAAACAGACAAAAATTAAGTTTTTTGGTCCATGTGACCCCTTAATAATTAACCGATCATTACCAAAATATAAGGATCTTCATTGGCCGGAAAGGACGGGCACATATGTCTAGATCGGCTCAACTATTCGAAATATTACGATAAGTATATTAAAAGTTTTGGGCCCATATTTCGCGTCCTTACAAACTCTTTGCATCCCTGTGTCCTTAAAATATTTTAAAAGTCCACGACATTTTGTGGTCCTTGAAAATATATTTGAAAAGTCCACGACTATTTATAATAATTAGAAAATATTTAAAAACTCCAAGCCTATTTATAATCCTTAAAAAAATATTTAAAAAGTCCACCCCTACTTGTGATCCTTGAAAAAATTTTAAAAAAGACCACGCCTATCTGTCTTTTATAAAATGTTAATATTAAAAAAGTCTTGAAAAAATATTAAAAAAGTCCACGCCTATTTGTTGTCCCTGAAACATGTTGAAAAAAGTTCACGCCTATTTGTGGTTATTGAAAACATGTTAAAAAAGTCTACGCCTACCTGTGGTCCTGGAAAAACGTTACGAAGTCCACGCCTGATCGTGGTCCTTGCAAATATGTTAAAAATGTTACTTCAAATAGGTCTTTTATTTTCGAAACCCCTAAAGAACAATTTTACCGCTTGAAAAAATATACCGATAATGGGGAGGTATCTGCCTGACTTTTTTGTTATGGAAAATATCATATCCGACCATACAAATATTTTATTGCTGGAAAATTCTGGGTTTTTCTCGATGTCCACGACGTAACGTCCCTGTCCTGTATTTTTTAATATTCCCCAGTGTGTGTGTGCGTTTGTATTTGTGTTTATTTTTTCCACTTCACCAATCGATTTTAATATTAATTTATTTTTATGCTCGAGTACCAGTATTTATGGACTCTTTTTTTCGTGTCGTTTGTATTCATTTTTATTTTCATCTTTTTTTCTGTTTGTTGTTAATATTATTTAATGTAATATTTTTTAATGTAATTAAAAAACAATTGTTTCACATAAAAAATTCATAGCTTTCAGTTTATTTTTAATATTGTGTCATATATTGCTGTTGTCGTTGTTGTTGTTGGTGGTGATGTTTTTTGCTGGTTTCTGGTGTTTGTAGCCTAGCTATCATCGTTATGGCTGGCTAGCTGTTTGTGATGTGTTTTTTCGTTCGTTCGTTTTCAATATTATTGTCGCTGTTGTTCTTGTTGCTTTTAATTATGGTCACTCATTCAGTTTTTTTATTTCACACTTCTATGCCAATGATTCACAAAGACAGAATAAAGTGACTATTTTTTGTGTGCAGTGCAATTTCCTTTACAAAAATAATAAAAATATTCTTTAAAAAATCCACGCCTTGTGTGGGCCATTGGAAAAATATTCTTAAAAAAATCCACGCCTTGTGTGGGCCATTGGAAAAATATTCTTAAAAAAATCCACGCCTTGTGTGGTTGGATCTCTGAAAAAATATTCTTTAAAAAATCCACGCCTTGTGTGGTTGGATCTCTGAAAAAATATTCTTTAAAAAATCCACGCCTTGTGTGGTTGGATCTCTGAAAAAATATTCTTTAAAAAATCCACGCCTTGTGTGGTTCGATCTCTGAAAAAAATATTCTTTAAAAAATCCACGCCTTGTGTGGTTGGATCTCTGAAAAAATATTCTTTAAAAAATCCACGCCTTGTGTGGTTGGATCTCTGAAAAAATATTCTTTAAAAAATCCACGCCTTGTGTGGTTGGATCTCTGAAAAAATATTCTTTAAAAAATCCACGCCTTGTGTGGTTGGATCTCTGAAAAAATATTCTTTAAAAAATCCACGCCTTGTGTGGTTGGATCTCTGAAAAAATATTATTTAAAAAATCCACGCCTTATGTGGTTGGACCCCTTTCAAAAAATATTCTTTAAAAAATCCACGCCTTGTGTGGTTGGACCCCCTTCAAAAAATAATCTTTATAAAATCCACGTCTTGTGTGGTTGGGCCATTGAAAAAAAAATTCTTTAAAAATACACGCCTTGTGTGGAAAAAACATTTTAAAAAAATGGCGCTATGATGCTTCAGAAACTCTATTGGACCCAAATAGATGTATTGGACCCAAATACACGTTTCTGTGAGTTTTATTTTAAAATAATGTATTCACACATCAATGATTATTCAGGAGCAAAAATCTGCATAAGGTGCAAGCCATTGGATAATTTCTCCAAAGCCGATTGTTGTCTATTCGATTTTCTTCGTACTGCACCACTAATAACTTTCATCCCTTTAGGTACTGCTTTGGTTCGAGGTTGTATCACGGATATCCCTAGAATGGGTTGCTGCGTTGTCGCTTTTAACGTCTGATCCAATATCTCTCGAATAGCTCTTAAAATTGGAAAGTCATTCTTATGACAGCGACCCTTAAAATCATCCCGGCTCAAATCATAGACTACCATTCCTCCTAATGACTTCTGCAGTGCATATCTGACTTTGGTGGCGGCAAATTTCGGACCATCATAACTAATCCAAAGGCCAGTATTGTTATAATTGGCAGGACGAAATGCATAGTTACCATATCGATCCGTATATTCCCGCATGGGTTGTTGATGCTGTTTTCGAGTTACCAGATATTTACAAATGGTCGGCCAACTAAAGAAGCTGTTGCCAACAGTACCCGTACCATTTGTATTTTCGATTATAGGCTGACCATTCATTCCCGATTCAATAGTTACTTTCCAAGCTCGGCCATAGGTGGCAATACCCAAATTAAGTTTCGTCGATGGGCAACCATTTTGTAGCCAATAGTTGACTTGAAAATCCACATTGGCATAGGGTAAACGATGCTGTTGTGGATTGAAATAAAGCGGTGACGAATAATCTGCCTCGCTGGGATTCCGCTCGGGGGTATTAAAATCGAAAGCGAAGAGATTTATGAATTTGAAGTTTCGATGAATTTCAGCAACATCAAAATAAACTGAGAGGAGAAAAAAAATTCAAAAAAACAATAATTAAAAACCCAGACTTCCATGGGCCGCTGAGGAACCCCGCAAAAATATCGACATTTATGCGACCATCTGGAAAAAGCATTACAAACTTACCACTTGAGTTAACATTCGGCAGAACGGTCATGGTTAGGTCCAAGTGCTTTATATCGCATGCCTCTTTGAGCTCTGCTATAAATTTACTATAAAAGTGGCGATATTCATTCCGTTTATCTCCAGCGAACATTCGATTGACATCGTTGAGAAATGCCGCCATATTTGACTCCTCTTTGGGTTTATTGCGTGGCAATGGAAAGGCCAAATCTACACCATCAAATTCATATAATTTTAATATTTCCATTGTCTGTTCAATGAATTTTCCTCGTCGATGGTTATCCTCTTCCAGTAAATGCAAATATTTTAATGGATCCTGTTTATCATTGGCATCACCATCACCACCAATGCTGAGGTAGATTTTCAGCTGAGGATAGGCTTTCTTCAACAATTTCGGTTCATAGAGTAATTGATGTTGTGGTGGAAAACGAATGCCATAGGTCTTGGGAACCAAATGGGCCGAAGCGTACACCAAATGAGTACAGTGGGCAGCACCCTTTTTCAAATGGTTAAAGGTGAAATTTGAGAATCCTGGAAAGGATATTTGTTGAAAAAAGTGCATTCGAATTGAATATATTTAAAACATACCATATCGATGAGAACTTTCTACCTCATAGTAGCAAACTAAGTTTTTGTTCGAAGCTGTTGCAGCAATTGTAATTTGTAACAAGTACAAAAATATTTCCAGTGTGATTAATAGTTTTATCATCGCGTCAGTATCTAATACGTATCGTCGAAGAAACCGATTACGACTGATGGATAATATAAAATTTTAAATACATTTTAATCTTTATTGACCACAGAAAATTAGTCATGAAGCGATGAGGGTAATATCTATTTTTATAACCAATAAATAATGAACAATATTCATAAAAAATGTTAAAAAATATTTTTTGTAGAGATCCAACCACACACGGCCTGGATTTTTTATTGAATATTTTTTTAATCACCTATCTGTTTTCAAGAGCTACTCAAGGCGTGGGTTTTTAATGAATATTTTTGCAGTAATATTTTTTCAAGATCTACTCAAGGCGTAGATTTTTTAATGAAGATATTTTCAATAATATTTT